TAAGTACTATATTAAATTAATAAATGATAATTATTTAAGGAGTGCATTATAAATTTCTATTAGCTTATTGAATAGATGACATAGACGATGATATAAATGATAAGTGAAACACGCTACCATGTTTCAGTACCTATTTTATTGAGTATGAGTAATTAAGTAAAATTAAAAAATATATATAGGACAAGTACGAGTAATTAAAATTATCATTGAAATATGTATGAGGTATGTATTATGGTATACAAATATAACTATCTAAAGGAATTTGATAAATATAAAATTTTTTCAAAACTATATGAAAATTAGAAAAAGTTATTACTTGGATGCAACCAAGTCAACAACATGGAGATGTGTTGTACAATGAAGCAAGAAAAATGCTAATTGCATGGTGCAATGAATTTCTCAATAAATCATGCAATTTTAACTTATTGACAATTATACTCGAAATAAAGAATAATTTAGAATAAAAGCACTTCCAATAATTAATTCTCAATATTTTAATGAAAAAAACTAATATTTTATTTATTTGTATATCAATATGCTATATAATGATTAACTTTTTTAAGATAAAGTAATTTATTTGTCAAATAATTTATGTCTATTTCAAAAAATATTTTAAGAATATCTATTTTTAATAATTAAAATTTAACCTTGTACTATAATATAACTCTTATGCTTTTTTTGGATAGTTTTACCAGCTCAAGGTATTTGAAGAACTCAAATATTTACCTAAACCTATATGGATATAAAAGCTCAAATATTTAATGTATTTATATATATTTATAGTGTCAAATCAAATTAAATTGGTGACCTAATAAGAGATGAGTCATACCCAAATTTTTAAATCATTTTAATTTTAGATATGACAAAACTAAGTTGATATTTTTCGGTCCAAACAAAAATTAATTGAACTTATTTTTTAATACAAGTTCATTTTAATTATATACCATCTAAATCAAAATCAAATTTAAATAGATTGATTTTTTAATCCTCTATTACTTGATGAAGAATAATACTAAATATTATTTACTTCGCTTCAACCTAAATTATTTGGCCCTATTCATTCGACTTATTGATCCACACCAGAATACAAACACCCCTAACTACATGAAGATCCAATAATAAATGGTCTAAAAAAATTAATTTAGACTGTATATTACTTTTTAAATATTAAAATTAGTTTATGTGTTAATTTTTTAATATTAAGTTTTTATACTTTTAAAAAAAGTCTATTAGTTCATATTATTAGATTTATCTCCTTATGACAACGAGTTTAAAATATAATTATTTATGGTTAAATGAATTTTCATTGGCATTATATATATAATAATATTTTAATATTTATTTATTTTTTAATATGATAAAAATTTTAAAATAATTAATAATTAAAAATATAAAATTAAAAAATAAATTATTTGACATTGAGAGACAATCACCTTGGTGCCTCTTTGTAGAAATTAGAAGATTTTTTTTTTTAATTTTTTATTATATTAAAAATAATTAAAATAAAATTTTTTTTATATAAAAATAGTTATATATCTAATTTATTATCATATGATAAATTCATTAAAAATATCAGAGACATTTAATGGATATATTTTTTGAAAATAAAAAATAGGAAAACAAAAAATAATACAAAAATTATTAAATATTTAAAAATAATATATAAACAATTTAAATTAGACGACATTAGATAGTTACGGTGGACGGTACGGAGTATCTTACCCGAACGCTGCTGGGCAAGAACTACAAGAACACTGAAAAAGCAGTGGACCCCAGCTGCTAAGGAAACGACACCGTTCGGGAGGAACCAATTTTTTCACTTCAACCGTGCCAGGTGGCAGGGAATGATTG